TCTAATATCAAAACAATGACGAACGATTTAAAATGTGGGATAGTTGTATAACGAGTTTAACATATGCGCAGAGATAGGTTTTTAAACATTATGACAAGATACTGTGTGCCTAATGTCTTCAAAGAATCAATATAATTAAAAACTAGATAGATAAAGATACATACCAATAGTTTCAACAGAAATATATCTTACTTCATTAGCTTCGTTTTTCTGCAAGCTACGAAAGCGAGCTTCTCGAAGGATTTTTTATAGTATTCTATCTCTGTGTGTCACATGAGCTGAGGGCCTCAATCACGCGGAGATTTGATTGAAGAAACAAACAAAAAAAAAGATAAGTATTCTGCTTTTTTTGTTTCTACTTATCTGTTTTACCAAATCTGTGACGTATGACAGAATACAAAGACCTGTAATCTTTCTGGGCACGAACATACTGGTAGAAAATACTTTGTATTTAGGGCGCTTACTCACAAATGTCAATTTTAGGTTAAATCTTCCCATTCAAATACAGCAACATAAAAGTCACGAAACAGGTATAACAGTCAGACTGAGCCAAGTTAATCCCGAGTTCTATTCAGTGCTCGAAGTAAGGAGAAAAGCGTTCGAAAATTACGAAAATAAATCTGAATTTTGTCAACTTTGTTAACACAAACAACGTTTCGGAAGTGAACAAGCTTCACAAACTTAGACTCAGTGGTGGTACAGTATCTTAAATAGTAAATACAGTACTTAAGTAGTAAATACAGTATCTTAAATAGTAAATACAGTACTTAAGTAGTAAATACAGTACTTAAGTAGTAAATACAGTATCATAAATAGTACATACAATGTCTTAACTCGTAAATACATTACTTAAACAGTAAATACAGTATCTTAAATAGTAAATACAGTATCTTAAATAGTAAATACAGTGTCTTAAATAGTAAATACGGTATCTTAAATAGTAAATACAGTGTCTTAAATAGTAAATACAGTACTTAAATAGTAAATACAGTATCTTAAATAGTAAATACAGTACTTAACTAGTAAATACAGTATCTTAAATGGAAAATATAGTATCTTAAGTAGTAAATACAGTACTTAAATGGTAAATACAGTATCTAAATAGTAAATACAGTACTTAAATGGTAAATACAGTACTTAAATTGTAAATACAGTGTCTTAAATGGCAAATATAGTATCTTAAATAGTAAATACAGTATCTTAAATAGTAAATACAGTATCTTAAATATTCGTAAAGTTAGTTTTAGCTTATGCAAAGTTATCGCTAACTCTCAATTTTGATTTAAGTATCAAAGAGGTAATTAAATTCAGGGTATAATTATACATACGAAAGTACCAGTATAGTACCGCCAAAGTAAAAAAAAAAAAATCGCGCTTTGCATTTTGGGGTCGTGGGTGTGTTGTAACAGTGATGGTCAGATCTCACTATTTCCTTTGACAAGAACAACCCCAAAGTTGGCGATGAGTGGCGTTGATTTGTTTGTTATTAAGCACAAAGCTACACAATGGGCTATCTGTGCTCTGCCCACCACGGGTATCGAAACCCGGATTCTAGTGTTCTAAGTCCGCAGACATACCGCTGTGCCACTGGGGGGAGGGCGAGTGGCGTTGAATAGCTGCCTTTTCTCTAGTCTGTCACTTAAAAATTAGGAACGGCTTTGCGTGCAATCGACAAACAATCAGAAACTAGCAATAATTTTAAAATCACAAACAAGCTAGCTACATTTAAAAGCTAGTCGTCTCGTAACGTTTCCTGTATTAAAAAAAAATCCAACTAGAAAAGATGAATGCACAGTCGCGTTAGTTTGAAGGTTTACTTTTGGTCTTATCTTGGAACCAGTGTATAATGAAAAAACAAATCGTCTTGAATGCAGTTTAAGTATTTTTCAGATTTGTCGTGTTTTATCTTATTCTAATGTAATAAATAATTCTTTTTGTAATTTTTTTTTCCACTGCGTGTTTATATACATGCATATGTACGTCAACTAGATGGTAAATTTATTAATGGTGTGATTTATTAATGGATTTATTATTATATATTTATTTTAATATCAACGTTTGTTTAGATTAAATTTCTATTTAGAAACATACATAGCTTATACTGTAAAATATGTATTGCGAAACTCCCGCCTGTTCTACAAAGTTGTAAAAGATTCTCGAGAGTAAGAATCAACAATATATGTATGTACGTAAACGTTTAAATGTAGCTCAGTATTGTTACCTAAAACTGGATTTTCTAGAAGCCTCCACACGCCCATAAATATAACCAACGCGACGCGCCAAAACAGAGAGTAT